TCTTTCCCTTTCTGCTTCAATGCCTGTGGTTTGTGAATTGTGAATTCCTTAGACACCAGGTTTAACATTATTTAATGGAGGAGTTTAGCTGGAAAGCATGCAACTCATTTCAAATGAAATGAATAGTAGCAACACAAAGACCCTAGTGAGTCATGGTAACAATTCAGCCAAGGACTGCAGCTTTGCCTTTGCTATAAGAATGAAAATAGAACCTCCTCAAGTGAGTTACCAGCACTCAGATACTCTGACTGGGTTGGGGCGAGGACTGCAGAAACCAATTAAATCCTAGCCAACTACAATATGTACAATACTGCATTTCACTTCCCCATGTTTTATTTCAGCTTTCTCCTGTCCCTTCAGACTCTATCACCTACTTAATAAAGAGAAGGAACAAAACATCACAAATGTATTTCAAATATTGAATTAGGAAAGGGTACTGCTAAAATACACAAAAGAAAAAAGAACAAATCACGATATGACCAGAATTAAGGATAACAAAAAGTCCTTTTTCAAATGCATAGGGAGTAAGAAGAAGGCACCAGGTAACGTGGGGCCCCTACAGGACAGGCTTGGCAATCTAGTGATTGCAGCAAAGGAAAAAGCCGATCTCTTCAACGAGTTCTTTGCCTCCATATTTCTGAGCAGAGACTGGGACAACTCCCCCACTAGGATTACAGACAGACTCAGGGGACACAACACCATGCCTAGGGTCAGGGACAATCTAGTTAGGGAACTGCTGGAGGGGCTGGATATGTTTAAATCAGCAGGTCCGGATGCTCTTCATCCGAGGGCACTGAGGGAATTGACGGAGGTCATAGCAGGGCCCCTGGCATGGCTGTATGAGCAATCGTGGTGCTCTGGCCATGTACCAGAGGACTGGAAAAGGCCCAATGTGGTCCCCATTTACAAGAAGGGGAGAAAGGAGGACCCGGGTAACTACAGGCCAGTTAGTCTCACCTCAGTCCTTGGGAAGACCTTTGAGAAAATTATCAAAGAGGACATCCGCGAGGGCCCAGCATGGCAGGTAATGCTCAGGGGCAACCAACACAGGTACAATGCAGGCAGATTCTGCCTGACTAACGTTGTTTCCTTTTACGACCAGGTCAACAAGTCCTTGGATGCAGGCATTGAGGTGGATGTCGTCTACCTGGACTTCAAGAAGGCCTTTGACACTGTTTTTCACCCCATGCTCATAAAAAAACTAGGCGACTGCAGCACTGATGCCTACAGTCAGATGGGTGGCAAATTGGCTCGACAGTCACACCCAGAGAGTGGTGGTGGACAGGTCATTATTGACCTGGAGGGATGTGGGCAGTGGAGTTCCCCAGGGCTCGGTCCTCGGGCCTGTGCTATTCAACATCTTTATCAGCAACTTGGAGGTTGGAGTGGAAAGCATACTGTCCAGATTAATTGATGACACAAAGATGTGGGGAGAAGTGGGCACGCTGGAGGGGAGGGACAAAATCCAACTAGATCTAGACAGGTTACAGAGGTGGGTGGATGAGAAAAGGATGGAATTCAGCACAGACAAGTGCAAGGTGCTGCATCTAGGGAGCAGGAAACTGAAACACATCTATAGGCTGGGGAACACCCTTCTAACAACACAGTGGCTGAAAGGGATCTTGGAGTCATTGTCGACTACAGATGCATCACAAGCAGGCCCAGGGAGGTGATCCTTCCCCTGTATGCAGTACTGGTCAGGCCGCAGTTGGAGTACTGCATCCAGTTCTGGGCACTGCACTTCAAGAGGGATGTGGCTAACCTTGAGAGGGTTCAGAGGAAGGCCACTCGCACGGTCAGGGGGCAGCAGGCCAGGCCCTACAAAGATAGACTAAAGGGCCTGAATCTATTCAGCCTCCACAAGAGAAGACAGAGGGGATCTGGTGGCTGTCTATAAACTCACCAGGGGGGACCAGCAGAAAATAGGTGAGGTTCTGTTCCCCCGGGCACCACTGGGGATAACAAGAAATAACGGCCATAAATTGATTGAGAGTAGGTTCAGGCTTGATATCAGGAGGCATTACTTTACGGTTAGGGCTATGAGGCTCTGGAATGGGCTCCCAAGGGAGGTGGTGATCTCCCCTACCTTGGGGGTATTCAAGAGGAGGTTGGATAGATATCTGACTGGGGTATTATGATCCCATTCCTGCCCAGGGCAGGGGGTTGGACTTGATGATCTGTTCAGGTCCCTTCCAACCCTAGAAACTATGAAACTATATTTAGAGAAATAAAGCTGGTATTTTCATATACATATTATTAACAGTGTGAAACAAACAAGGAAAAAGGCACAGAATAGATGCAAATGGAAGAGTCTCACAGTGGTTTTCAGAAGTTCGCATGGCATCAGTTGCTTGGTAATACATTAAACAAGAAGCAAGACATTTTCAAACTTTTGGAAAGGTACAGGAAAACTGATTTTACTGACCTCTTTTGGCAGCCTCATCAACATGTCCTTGCAGCGCTGCACACATATCACTGCCTTTTGAAAATCCCCTTGAGCAACAGCCTAAGAAAGTAACAGATGTGCCAATAAACTGTTAAACAATTTGTCTTCAAAAATAATTCCATATCCTGCTTCTCTAAGAAAGTGTATCTTCTATGCACTCTAGCACATATGGCATAGCCAGTTGTAACATGAGAAAACTATACTTAACATCCTGCTAGCAGGTTTTCTTATACAGTAGCACAAGGGCATTTTATAAAAACATGAAGAGACACTCTCCCACCCTAAGATTAGTGTGAACAGAAAGAACTAACATGATAATTTCCTTCAAATGCTAAAACTGCCATTCAAATACAAACAATATGGTATGAGACAGCTCAGCAGACTTAATATTCTCTCTCTCCAGCCGCACTGGACTCCCCCTTATTCCCCCCTACACTCCCCTTCCAGCCATACAACTCAAAGACTGAGTTAAAATTCTCAGACATTTTTGGGCTAACTGTTGTGTTTTGGAATCTTCCATTTTTGATTCTGAGATCCCAGTAAAGCATTTTGGACTTTGCATACAAAACACACTGGTAAATAGGCCTCCTTATGTTTGCACCCCAATGTCTGTAACACCCTGTAGCATTACCAGTACCAAATATGCAAAAATATCCAGTCAAATCTCCTGACCAAAATCATTACTAGATTGCTTTATAAATCACAAGATTTTTCTATGTATATTTGGGATGTTTCATTTGCTTTTAACTCTTTGGAGTAGATTCATGACTAATTTTAATGTAGTCATGAATCTACTAGCATTTGTTGTAATGTTCATGAGTTTGTAGGTTCAATCAAATTATTATGCACTGCAAATTCCTTCCTGTGTGCAGCTTTTTATCAGCCACCTCTTAAATAATGGTACTTCAGTATTATTCAGCTACTCCTTAGATAGTGGTACCTGAGCTGCAGAATACTGGCACAGAGATAAATAGCTGTGAATTAACCAATGTTCCTAAAAATATGTTGTTCGACCATGGATTCTAGGGGACCCAGGTTCCAAAGTAACCTCACATATCTTGCTTCTTCAGACAATGAAACACAGAGCTTCCTTGAGTGTACTTAATTTAAGACTCAAAAAGATAGCTGGCTGCTTTATAAAGACCCCCTGCTAGCCAAATCAAAGAGAAACAAGTGTTTAAGAGAGTATCTAAACAATACTGCAGAGAAGATTATGATAAATTAGCAGAGATACCTATCTAAAGGGAACATTAAGAATATTTACATAATTGCAACGTTGAGGGCACAGATCAAATTTGAGACCTTACAGCAAAGCAAAGCTAAGTAAACTTTTTTTTTCATTTGACAACCAGAGTTCACACTGCTAACAAGTGGGTCAGAGCTCTCCTTTCACCATCCAATCACTCCAAGGCTGGTGACACGCACAGAAAACTGGTCAGGACACGTACTGATTCAGCCTGGTAAGACAGCACTTTGAACAGGTTCTTCTCCACATCAGCTTTGTGCACATGTATATCTGCTTCCCCATTACTCCTCTTCATTAATCTGGTGTACAGGTTTTCTATACTCTGGAAAACAAAGCAATCATCCAGGGAGCTATTACTCACCTGTGAAATGTACAAATAGGCACATTTGCAAGAGACTGGAACTAAGCAGAAACTTACTTTTATAGCAATCTCAAGAAAACCGTCAGCAAGGACAGCTTTTCCAATATCCACCCACCCTTTTCCTGTCTTCATGGTCATCTAAAAAATAAAAATAAAATGTGTCTTCTGAAAATTCATCAACTTCCAAACCAGTTGATATTGGCTGTCATTATGTCTGTACATGTACCTAATACTGCAGCCTTTACAATTAATTTAACAATTGCCTCTTTATATACAGTTCCATTCATTTTGATGCAGCACAAGGAGACTTAGAGATTTCATGAGGATGCTGAAACAAAAAGTCAATTAATTTTTCAACATTTTATTGGACTGATACCAGAAAGGTGGTGCTCTTGGCTGATATGTGCAAGACCTCAGAAGCTCCTTTTCACACTACAGGATGAACTGTTCACTGTAGGTTTACTAAAGAAGCCAAGGTTCATAACAGCATTCCTAAAAACTCCTCGCTATGGTGGGAGAACCAGATGTCCTTATGATGATATAAGCCCACCCCTGGCATTTCCTGAGAAATTCAAGGTATGTATTTCACCCATTTTCCTGAATGACACTACCACCTCCAAATAACATTCCAAGATTTCCATTCGTGATCTACTGCTCTACTTATGCTCATATTATTTAGCTACTTACCAGAATCTGCCTTCGCACAGTTTCTTCCGAGGAACTGTTATCTTCACACAGCAATGCTAGCCTACAAGCAATGTGGCGCACTGCAAGAAAACAATGTATGCACATAACTGGGAGGGGCACTTCTCCCCTTTCAGTCCTTATGACGGCAAAAACTAAGAGAAGTTACTTCTTCACCAATTAGAAGTGATAATTTATTGGCAAATGTAACCTCCCAAAAGCCTAACTACCTAAGCACTGTTGTGTGTGTCGACTGTTGTGCTGACTTCCAGTTTACTGTAGTTACGCAGAAGAGCTTAGTATTGACATTCTCGAGTGCAGGTCTCTGAGTGTAAATCTGCTATGGGATTACCAGTTCTACTCCAGGCAACATCCGAGACCAGACCTGTATGGAAGTCCACTACCGACAACAACAACCTGTAAAAATTTATCCTCTGCAAACTATGTAGAGTAATATTTGTTCATGCCATATGAGACTTGAGCCCATTCCAACTAGTTAACACACATTTCACCCTTCATTTCCATGAGGGGAGAATTAGACTCCACGTATGCAAGACCAGAAGACCCCAGCCCCTACATGGGTATAAACTCTGGAGAAGACTTCACTGAAATTGAAGTCTTCTGGAGAACACTTCAACCTCATTCTGCATTGGATGCAGAACATTCTGATGGCCACAAGGCTTGTGCTGCAAAGCAGCCCCAACCTTAGTTATGCCAAAAGTACCATCAGAAGACAGGAAACTATCCATAACAGTTGACACTGAATTACACCACAATTTTATCTATTATTATTATTATTATTATTATTGCTAAAAGTAGCAGCACGTTTTGCAATGTACCAGACACATGAAAACACAACCTCTGCTGATTAGAGCTTAGTAACTACAAGTATGTAGGACCTGCTCTGCCTCAATTAGAAGGTGGCGAAATCTAGAACAGCATATACTAGTGCAATACTGGAGCACTGGTTCAGTACTGACCAGACAAATGTATTACTTACCAAATTACATAGATTCCTGCACCACTAATTCTCTGGGTAGGTCTCCCCATTCAAGGACTGACCCTGATTAAAGGAGACCTACAAAAATAGGATTGGTACACTTATTGTTTCTTTATGACATGTAAAAGAAAGCCTGAAAGTTCTTTATTTATTTTTCTTATAGTTATATAATAGTTTCAGGTCTTATCTATCTTGTGAGACTTTTGTGGTACCTGGAAAATTTATGATATCATAATATCATAAGAAATATAAGATAGAAAACTTCACCAGCAAAGACAGTATGTGAATTTTAGCCAGACTGTTTAAAGCTGCACTTAAAATGTATTTTTCTTAATACTGTCTTATAAAAAATGACTAATGAACACTTGGGATAAAGTCTTTAAATAAGCCTATAGCATTTTAGTGACAATGCAAGTGCTTAAATTAACTCATCCTGAAAATTCCAAAATCCCCTCCAGCTAAACAAAGGCAGACAAGATTAGCATCCTTTATATTTCTAAAGTAAAAATAAACAGAGCATTTTTTCACATCTTTCTATACAAGAAAGTAGTAACGAGAAAAATGACAACCCATTTTTTTTTTAATATTTTGAAGGTCTCCCTTAACTATGATACAAGATCTGAGGAAAATATATCTTACACCAGTCAAAATTTTATACAAAGCTCCTTCCCTCCCTTTTGCCTTGGACCATCCCTCCCTGTAGCATGTTTATAACTCAGATTCTGAAAGTAAAGCTCCTAGGGCAGACACAGCGGAACATATAGAATCACAGAGCTGGAAGGGACCTCAAGGGTTATCTAATGTGCAAATTCAGGATTCACCATTCCTAAAATATCCTAGACAGATCCAGCTTCTTCCTAAAAAACCCCAAGGAAGGAGATACTACCGCTTCCCTGGGCAGTTTATTCCATCTTTCTACTGTTCACACAGTTAGGGTTTTATTTTCTCTTGAGATTTAATTTAAATGTTTTGCTGCAGTTTAAAAAAAACACTGCCTTGAACCATTTTTCTCCATCTTCTTTATGGCATACTTTCATATATTTGAAAACTGCTATCATGTCCTTTGCTCGATCTCCTTTTCCCCCAAACTAACCACACACCTAGTTCCCTCAAACATTCTTCACAGGACTTGCTTCCAGTCCCTTTATTATCCTCATCACTCCACTCCGAATCTTCTTTGGTTTCTCTACATTCTTTTGTAAATCTGAACACAGTTCTCTAGCTGAACCCTAACCAATGCTGAGTAAAACAGCACTTCTTGTGCCTTGCACACAATTCCTCTGTTAATGCAACCCAAAATGGCATTACTTTTTTTTTTTTGCAACAGTATCACAGTGCTGATTCTTGTTGAGTTTGTGATCTAAGACAATCCCATGCTCTTTTTTGATACAGCTACTGGCAAGCCAGTTATCCCCATTCTGGTTGTGGGTGTTTGTTTTTTCTTCCTTAGGTGTAGCATCTGACATCTGCCTTGATGCATTTTATTTTGTCATCTATAACCCATCCATTTGAATTTTAATCCTATCTTCCAAAGTGTCCACAAACCCTTCCAGTTTTATGACATCTGAAAATCTGATCTGTATTCTCTCTATTCATGAATCCAAGTTGCTAATCAAAATGTTAAAATAACAATACCCAAAAGAGATCCCTATGAAAGCCCACTTGAGACCAGTCTAACATGGGATTAATTCAACATTTGCATGCAGTTATTCAACCAGTTATAAACCCACCTAACAGGAATTCTGTCTAAGCCACATTTCTCCAGCTTATCAAAATGGCACGTGGGACTGTCTCAAAAGGCTTATCCACTAAACCTGTTTCCCCTGCTAAAGAATTAAAAGTTTGATTTGGCAGGATTTGTTCTTAAAAAAATCCATGTTTGCTTTGATTTGCTAGCACCCCTTCATTCGCCAAACATTTACAAATTAAATGTTTTATAATTTCCTATAGTAATTGAAATAAGGCTAACTACAGAGCCTTCTGATCTCCCCTTTTAAAAACAGTCAATATGATAGCCCTTCGCCAGCTGTCTTAAGACCTCACATGTCATCTTCATGTTTGCAAATATTATTGCCAATAGCCTTAAGAAATCTCCATCTAGTTCCTCCAGCAACCTGTGGTCCCAAATACCTGCACAGAAAGCAGGAGAGGATGGGGGTACCAAGGGAGTTTAAAGCCTACTTCTCCTGCCTACTAGTACTGGTGCTATTATAGGACAGGGCCATTAGCTCACATCAAGTAAAAGTAACCTTGAGGTTTCAAAATGTCCTTAGGGTTTGCTTATACAAATTTTACCATACTGGTTTGTATCAATATACCTCCACAGTCTAGATGTTTATACTGGTATAAATTATTTCCAAAAATAAAGCCACCGCTTAACAGAGCACGGGGAAATGCAGATCACAGCTTCTTTCCCCTGGTCATAGCTGATAACAGCGTCTTTCCTCTTTACCAGCAGCAAGGAAGGAGACTAATATAAGAGCTGGAATATGAACTCTGTATCACCAGTGGAACATTCTTGAACTGGAATTATCCTTCTTGAACTGATTACCTAAAATAGCTGCATGGTGCCTTGCCTATTCTTGTCAGAAAAGATCCATGCATGTTTATTACATAAAAAGTTAAGGACAAGTACCATCAGAGAGCTTTTTCTTTTTGCTCTGGACTATAAAAGAACTGAAGTCTAGGACATACATACATACATTTAGCTCTTTGCTCATCATTGATAAATGAACCCATTCGCTTGGTCACAGCCCAGTTCCACAGGTTTACTGAACATTCTTCAACCTAGGAGAGGAAGGAAAATTCACTCAGAACAGAATTCACTTTTGGCCTGCTTTTAAGGCTTACTTGAATTTACTGTTAGAAACGCAGCCATCTTTCCTGTATGACATCTCAAAGAATCCGTGTAAGTGTGTATGTTTATTTCTTTTAAAGCAGAGGCAAAAGCTGAGAGACTCTTGAGAAACTATTGCATGAACTAAGTGGCTCCAGAAATGAATCTACAATAGTGATTTGAATAAAACAGGCATAAGATATGGACAACATGAACTCTATTGTGCTAAAAACAAGAATGATACTGTATAATTATGATAATTTCAGAAGATTTTCAGCTAGCATGAGTTACACATTCTAGTTTCAAATGTATTTCGTAGCATGTTAAGATACTAGTTCACATCTGAGCTTTTGTGGACATTTCTACAATAAAATAAATTAGGTAAATATTTATGCCTAAATAAATCAAAAGAGTGTTATGACCAGAAACTAAAATGATCTAATCAGACATATGATAGATGGCAGTATACCCTATCAGTACATATGCCTTCTTTCCATCAGTGCTTTCAGTCATAATTTAAAATTTTACAGAACATGAAATTCTTTACATGAAATGCTAGAAATGAGAAACATTTCAAAGTCTTTGCTTTGTTTCATTAGAGCATCTTCTTGAACAGATTTCTTTTCATCTGTCACTTCACTCAATTGTCTTTACATGCATTTCTGACAAGTCCTTTCCTGACTCTCTCAACCTACGACTTGACTTGACCCATCTGTCTGGGCTGAAATCTCACAAGCACATAAGATGTGTGCAATAGCACATTCACTGCTACTGACAAACAACTAACTTACTGGGATCTTTCAAAGCCTAACAAGGATGTTAAAAAAATTGGGAAGGGTTTAAGAAAGCTCCAAGAATGATTTCAGGTCTGAAAGACCTGCCTTATAATGCAAAGCTCAAGGAGGTCAATTTATTTACCGGTAGTTTATACAAAAGAAGATTAAAAGCCAACTTCACTGGGGTATGCAAGTTCATCCATGGAAGTTTTCCAACAGTACAGGATTCTTTTAACCTAGCACAGGGATCAGCAGCCTGTAGCCTGCAGGCCAGGTCTCATTTGGCAGTAGGGGCTCTCCCTGTGCTGTGCCACAGTTGGCTGGCAGGGAGAAGTGGCAGAGGTGGTCTGGTCCTAAAGTTCACACACCTAAGATCTGAGCCAAGTCATTCCAGTCCCCCACCGGAAAACATTTCCAACCCCTGATCTAGCAGGCAAAGCTAAGACAAGAGACAACAGCTAAAAACTGAGCCTAGACAAATTCAGACTTGAAGCATGGTGCAAATTCCAAAGTAAAAAAACCCCCTTGGAACAGCATACCAGGAGATGTGTTGGATTTCCATCATTTTGAGTCTTAAAATCGAGACTGGGCATTTTCCTTAAAACATGGTTTAGCACAACCAGGAGTTATGGCCTCGATACAATAGCTGGGTAAAATTGTATGGCTCATGTTATGCAAGAGGTCAGGTTACATGGGGGATAATAACGGTTCCTTCTGGCTTTGGATTATAAAAATCTATGAACCTAACAGGAAAAATATATTTATATAAAATATTTCTGAAGTAAAAGTTTCACTAGCAGCTTAGTTAGGTAACAGGCATCCAAAAGGTAGCATGTTATAAGAGGGAACAGGACTGCAGCTGGAAACAACCAAGATGCCTTCACCTCCCTTATGTACATCATTGCATAATAGGGCTGGAGGGGGTTGAGAGGATCACCCTCTAGATCCAACCCCTGGCATGAACACTACTCCTAAATCATGTATATCTGATACTTATCCAATTTCTTGAGAACTTCCACTGAAGAAGTTCACAAAATCTTTGTGTGCTAACATTTCCAAGCAAGATTTTGACAGGGATATTTAAAAATGGGAGAAGTTTGCAACTTTATTTGTAAATCATCCTTAACTAGGATTTTGGAGGAGGGGAAAAACCAAGAACTAAATTTATAAGCTTTTACACAATTATCTCTTCTATTTTGATTAGGTATGAACTATAAGCAATTAAAAAGCCAAGACTCCAAAAGTATTAACTCATTTACAATGCATCTACAGTTTATCATTTAGGTGGACATTTAAAATTATAACTAGTAATCACTAATCAATGTGAAGCATGGGAAAGATTTTTACTAAGAAAACTTCAGTGTTTTTATATTTTGATTTTGGAGTGTTTGTATTTACAATTTTAACATCTTCATTATTCTTTTCTACATTTATTTTACTATTGTGCTTTTTTTAGTCTTTTTGCATTCTTAGATTCAAAAGTAAAAAGTCACAGCATCTCATTCATGTCAGTAATGTTGACATTTAAATAATGATATTTTGCCTCAGAATTCAAAAAAATTAATACATATCATTTTGAAGGACAGGTGGAATCCCCCACTTGCCAGTTGCTAATGTTTACTATTCTAATATTTACATTATTTTTTTAGAAACACCTCTACTTTCTTCAAATGTGCTAATGGAGAAGTAGAAATGTTATAGTGTATGCTCTATAGTTATACAAAACATAAGTAAAACATGCAAAAATGTAAGTGTTCTTATAGATTCTCAGTACTATGACGACTCATTATCTGCAGCAGCCAATGAGCATTCAAACTGCAGTAGGTACTGCTCGCCTCCACCTTGGCTGTAAGAACAGACTGTTTTTAAATATCCAGCTTTGGGATCCAACAGTCCCTGGCCTTCTACCTCAGCCTCCTGAATCTCGTCCTCTGCCTTCTTATCCACATTTTCTATTTCAGAGAATAGTTTGTCAATGATCTCAGGAACGTTGGATGGGGCGTCTCTCTTCAGCAGCTCTTGAACAAGCTCTGAAAAATAAGGTGCATGAGGCAGAAACAGAGTGAGCACCATACAAATGTTATGAGTAGCACATCATCTCTGAACAAGTCTGTACGAGCAAAACCTATTGGTTTACATTTTCTTCATATTTTCCTGGCTAATAAAAAAGCACAAACAAGGAGACCAAGAGAAGTTGAACAAAGTAACTCCTGAGAAACAACTCTATCCTAAAGAAAATTTATTTTAGTTAAGGCATAAGGCTATATTCTGCTAAACTGCGGCAGTGAAATCTACATTTGTCAAAGGAACTAAACATAAGCAAAGAGTGCAGAATGTGGCACATCTTATCTGTGAATAAAATGTCTGCTTCCCCCAAGTCTTTTGTTCCCTCCTAAACAACTTTTATTCTTGGGCCCTCTGAAAGTATAATGTACAAAACCTGTATTCAGGATCTTTGATACTGGTAAGCCAACGCCAGCGCTTCCTTTGAGGATAATAGAACAACCTGCCACCACCGATTCTAGAATCCTAAAACCCCCATGCATCTTTATAAAAAGAGAGAATACTGCTAAATCTTTAAATTCCTGCCCTCGGCTTAAAAGGAAAAAGTCGGACTTGATCAGGTGCTCTCTCAACCACTCACAGAATGTGGAAGGAATGAGGTTGCTTTAGTGGGTTTAGTGGGTAAATCCCTTACAACAGCAGCTGGAAACTACTCCTCAGAGCGGTTTAGGGGACCAAATAAAACCTTTTTGCCCTCCCTTGTCTCCAATTCCATAGTTTTTCACGTGCTAGCTTAAATATCTACCCCCAGTTGGGCGGCCAGTAGCAGCACTACACGGTACAGACATGAGAGCCCAGCACCTTGCTAACAAAAACCCTGACTCTGGTCCAGAAGCAAAACGAATCCCTCCCGCACCTCTGCCCCAGTCACTATAATGTTTGTTTTACTCAAGTCGACGGAAAGCTCCCTGTAATCTCTGGCAAGAGAGAATAGTTTTAACTTCCAAAACAATAACCTGAAAAGGCAAAACAAGTTTCGTCCAAGTCTCTTAACTGATGAACTCAGGAACACACAAGGCTCTGCAGCCACTCTGCGAGTTTCACAAGTTACCTTATTACATATTGTCCTAACAAAAATGAATCTGTCGACCGCATTTCCTTTCCTGTAATTCTAGCACGCCAGAACTAATCAAGCATTACTTTTAATTGCAAGTTATGTAACAGAGCGTGCCCTTTTCCTTGATCTGGAACAAGTTATCAAGTACCTATTTTAGACTCCAAAACTAAAACAAATACAGGTTGCTATTTCCTCTGCAGCCGTGCGCTCAGCTCAACTAGGTACAGGGCGAGACACGGCCTTCACGTCGAACGTTACGCACTGGTCACTAAGCTTTTGGTTTAGGGCCAGAAGTATTTCACCCGGGGCAGGGCCTCAGCAGCCGGAGACGTCCCGCTTCATGGCACATCTCCCCTGACGACTCAGCCTGTTCCTGGCGGCCCGGCTCCAAGGCAAAGCAGCTCGGCACCACTGAACAGCCAGACTGCCCCGGCAGTCGCCGCTGCACACCCCGGACGTGCTGCGTGTCTGCCGAGGAGGCTGCCGGCTCTGTTGGAGCCTGCTCTCGGGACGCCACCGCACCCAGCGCGGCGCGCAGCCCCGACGCCAGGGAGGCAGACGCACGCCACTGTGACACTGGAAAACCCCGCCGGCCTCCCGTCTACACCAGACACAGCTTTTCATATCGATTGTAACGAGCGCCCCATTGCTCGTCTCCTGGGCGCTCGTCTCGAACTCAAGGCTGTCCTGCAGCACGGCGCTGCGGTGGCACCGGAGCACCGCTGGAGCAGAGACGGCGCAGGAGGGTTTCTCGGGGGAGCTCTTGCTCTTCTCGGAGGCGGGAAGCCGGGTGGCGCGGCGTGGCACGGGGCAGGGCAGCGCTGCACTGCGCTGCACTGGGAGATGGAGGCTGGCGAATGGGGGCGACGTGGAGAAGCGGGGTGCGCAGGGCCTGCAGCAGACCAGCCC